AAAGCGACAAAGAAATCCTGTCGGTTGGCCTCTCGCAAAAGGTTGGCTCACGTTTCGGAACACCCTTTAGCGGTTTTCCTCGTTACGATGACGATGGCGTGATTATACGTTTTATAAATACAGAGCGACAGACGTTCCTACTAGTTGCTCCGACATCGAAAGCACGACGGCAGGATAATTGATAGCGGAATGCTAATAACTCGTACGAGGCAGGCATTATAATAAGTTTTTTGCTGGGCGTGTGCCCCGCGTCTAGCGCATTCTCACTCCCCTCGCGATGTGTTCTTTCCGGTACTTATTAGCACGTAATTTGCTTAGTTTAGTCTCGGCGTTGATGCGACTATCACGTTGACACGTTGCATTTGCAAAAAGTTGTACTTGTTCTGCCCAGTTAAAGACGAAGAATATAGCTGTATTTTTAATACACATGCACTTTAATACGGGAACAATAGTAACAATATTAATAAGTTGTATGGAACGGGGAAAAGTGCCAATGCGAGGCAACAAATGAACGGAAGACGGTTCTCACAAATTTATAAATACTTTCTCTCTTTAATATAAACGTTTCGACCCTGATTCGGGTCTTCCTCAGTATAACTCGTTAAATATATGGTTTGAGAATCTCTTTTTCCATCATGGTCTCATGCTTCTTCTCTAAATGTTCCCGGACATAAAGAGAACTGGAGACACGTCGACTGAGATGACTTCGTTGTAATGTTGTAATATTAATAAGTATTTCGACTCGTAATATTGCAAGGACTAAAGCAAATATCTCTCGTATAGAAAATCAGTTATCGTCGCCGATAGCTATCAATGTTCACGAGTCCGACTGATTTGACATCGCGTTAGATTTCTCACGTAGAGATAATCCGGAGAAAAATGTGTGTTTACATAAATGTCTGAGTGCGAGCGCAATCGAAAATGCAGATACGAATTCAGCCAGACGTATATATGTGTTTCATATTTTCCCCGGGCAGATTAGTAGTTACGAAATGAAAAAATCTTAATACAATTTGCTGGGATATTAAGCACACGAAGAGTATAATTACAAGAACTGTTCTTACGCGTTGCTTTTCTCCGAGCGATTATACATCGCGGCACACGGGCACGGAGTGTTAATAATTACGGTAGGCGATGGAGAGCGTGTATGTATTCGTATTAAGAAAGAACGATACCGCCGTGTTTTGAAATAAAGGCCTCGATATCGTACATCTCGTTTCGTTAAACTTACGTCTGCATTTTGCATATATATAATCTCTTACATAAAATGATTTGCAGGATATATTTTCTTAACAAGATTATTATTTGAGGCGATCGATTTGATTTTGCAAAACGACGATCAAGAAATTGCGAACTCGCGAACGTAAATCGGGATATTAACAGAATACACTCACATAGATTAAAAAATATCTAGTACTTTTCCAAGTATTTGCTTGAAATGGGTAAATATGGGAGTACTTCCCCAACGAAGAAATATTGACTAGGCAAACAACTGAGGCTAAGACAAGCGACCTCTCCATTTGCCGGTGCATCTAGACTGGGCGACGGTAGATGCGACGGCGTCAGGCTTTACGGTAATATAGTTTACGTCGCTCTTTCTAATTTCTATGAAGGCTACTCTCAGCACACTCTTTCTCTCTCGTTTACGTAAAAGAAACATTACGACTCGGAAAGATGGATTCGCCGTTTCGATAGTTACTAGGTTCGAATATGCGTTCAGTAAAGGAGACAAATATCGTTCCGTAAATTATTCAAGCGCCCGATCAAACGTTTGCGAGTACACCTTGCGCGCGTTCCATTGCACTAAATCCAGCAAGATGTTCGGCGATGGGGAAACGAAGTGTCTCGAAGATTCGGGACAAGAGAAACGGGCGCGCGTCTTATACCAACCTGGTAGGGAAGTAGGGGAATCCCTGATGGACGTGTAGATCCATGGGCATCGCGGGATGAGCGGGACCATGATGTGCCGCGGCTGGCACGTACTCACCACCCGCTGACATGGGGGGCTGCATCATACCCGCGGCGGCAGCCGCGTGGTGACCCGCGAACATGGCCCCCCAATGGAAACCCGGTGCACCCGGCATCGCCGACGGATGCTCTAGTTCGAGGGCACGGTGACTTCCGCCGGCACCACCGACGATACCACCCCCGGCTGCGCCTCCGGCACTTCCGCCTCCGCGGTGCATCCGCCACCCTTCCACCACGAATGTCGATGGTATTTCCGTCGTTTCAGTCGATCTCTCTCTCTCTCTCTCTCTCTCTCTTGTATTCTTTCTCTTTCCCACCCTCTTTCTCTCTTTCTTTCTCTTTCTCTCTTTGACAATTCACTCAATCGCTACTGCTCACTTGCACATTGTGCACGTGTCACTCGCGCCCTTAACCCGCACCCGTGCCCGCGCCGGTACTCGGGTCCGCGCCGGTACTCGGACGCCGGTGGCCTTTTCCCGTCGACGGAAACCTGCCGAACGGGAGGGCTCGATCCGCGAATTCCTCGAACACCGCACCATCGACCGGTACTTTATTCGCGCGGCACGCGATACACCCGTAAACGTCGTGGACGCATGGGCACCGTCGCGGCGTGGTAGTTGGCGACTCCGAGAACGGCGGCGGCGGCGGCGGCGGCGGCGGCGGCGGCGGCGACGCGACGGAGAACGCGGATGCTGCGGGGGAGACAGGTGTCCGCGCCGTAGTGTATCCTCTGGTGAGCCGCTGCAGCCGGACGGATCCGAACAGTGGCGCAGCCTTTAGCTCGGCCATGAATGACGCGCCGTATTCCGAGTTACCTCGCGGAGGCGGAGCCTCGGCCTACTCTCGCCCGCGTGATACCTCCCGCCTCCATTCCCTCTCCGATCCTCTTTTCTCCCCCCGATCTTCCTCCTGCCGCGACTTCACCCTCTCGCGACCACGTGCGCGCGCGTCCGAACACGAGTATCCTCTCTCGTTTCCTCCCTGTGTATCCCTCGGCGAGTCTATCGAACTCGCTCCGCGTTGGTGTCACCGAGGATGCTCCGCTACCACACTATGCAGTATCTCGATACAATCGTTTCAATCTAATCTTTATAATCCAGGTACTTGTCAGGTTCCGATATCTATCAGGCGGTGGAGAATGATTAGAGGATGACAAACGAGAAATTGTTCTGTCGGGAACAATCGCGTGCATTATGTTACTTGTGCGGATTTTGTTTGAGATGTACGACGAAGAGAGCCGAGCGCTAGGCCACGCGGTTACAGAAACAAAACCGGTATCGGAAAAATTAATATGCGATTCTCCCACACGGTCTCACGGGTAGGAGAGAAACGCCCCCGTTGACCACGCGCGGGGGCGGACAAGCGCGTCGCGGATCGACGAAACCGTAGAGACGCAAGCTCGTTTTGGCGTAACACTTGTTGAGCCACTTCGCCCTCGCGGCCTTCGACTAAACGCGTCTCTTAGTGGACGTTTCATAAGCAGCGGATTCGAGAGCGAGCTTTACCACTGATTCGCCGCGTGCATTTCCACACGGTGATCCAAGACTTTACGCAAAATCAGTCATTCCTTGGTACACTACGCGTCACTACTGAACAGTAATTGTCTTCAAAAGATGAAGAACGACGGCGAATTGATAATTATCGCAAACGGCGCGTTAAATGATTATTCGAGTAGAGATACATTTTTCTCGTTAGCCGTGCGACGAGGCCAACGGTTTAATATATTCCCTGCGCCGCGTTTAATTCTCGGCTTCTCGACAAATTGTCGCGCGACAACTGTGTTACTTCTTTTATTGGATGTAAAATGCTTAGACAGCTTCGGAATTATTACTTCTAATCAGGGATCCGCCGCGCGAATGGCAAATAAAAGCGACGCTGTAACGTACGCATTAAATCAGCCGGAGTTACGTCAGCCCCCTCGAGTTGTAACCGGTCTACTACCATAAAAAATTTAATCAAAATGCCCTCTTGGTAATTTACAACTCGCCCAGCGCTCAACCCTTGCCAGGCAAGGTGACTCTCCGGCCAGTGGGTGGAGAGACGACCTCGCTTGCTTAAGTAAGCCGAGTTGAAGTAGGGGTACGTTGTAAGACGATAGAGAGGAAACAACCGAAAGTAAGAAGGGACGGATAAACCCCGTAGGAGTCATAGAGCGGCAGTAAGATGCGGCCCATTTGCTCGTTCGAGACTCTTTTCCGTAAAAAATAATTCAGCTCTCGCTCGTTTGTCGCTTGCCGCCTGTTGGGGGCACGAAACGGCTGACAATGAACATTCCAAGTTCGTTGGACAAGTCCAATACCGATGCTGCGAATTATAGTTTATATACTGATATAAAACGTAACAATAGAGAAGAGCGGAAAGATCTCCTCTTTGTCCACTTTATCAAATATGGATGCAATTTTGCCTCTTTTACTCGATAAATTAGTCAGTCAAGAAGGACGGTCGCTTCGCGTTTCATCAATTAACTTTATTTTCTATCTTCGTAATAACATTTTCAGCCACGTGGCTTAATCGAGTCCGCTATATTCGCGCGCGCGCGCGACATGCGCGGAGAGCGACGGTAATAATTTACTTGCAACTTCGACTTATTGTTGTCGGGTGAGGGAAGGGAGAGGGAGGCAACGGTCGTACCATTAAGTAGATTCTCTTAAGCAGAAAAATTGTTCCGCGCTGCCCTACCACACGTGGGTACAGGTGTGAGTCGTAATAACATGGTGGGTGTGCCCTTTAACCCCTAATATCCCTACCTTCGCGCTGACTTCACTAAGGCCGCCGCAAACGGACGTAGGAACACGGCAATCATCGTACCTCTGTATCAATTGCAGGCGCATTATTATTGCGGATATACTTGGCGGTGCGCCGTATCATTGAACTTTCGGCAATATGCCGCGAACGCGAACGTTGTCATTGGCGACACGCATTACGTTCGAATGTTATAAAATATGCGCTTTTTCTCGTCGCATATAATGGGAGTGATTTTCGGGAATTTTCAGATTGGATTCGAGGCGTGGGGTATTAAGAAAAAAGAAATGTTCCTCTGAACAAAAATCCAGAATTTATTTCAAGTCTCTAAAACATAAGTATAATACTTCGGTGTAGTATAATACTACAGGTCGTGAAAAAAGTATCATCAATAACGTTCGGACGTTACTTTACAACCGTACGCAGCGGTTCGTTTGATACAGTAAAGTGCAATGAAAATCTGAAAGTCTGTGCTTCACGCAAGATAATCACACGGTGAGTTGAGCAAACCAATTTGGCGATTGTATCGTGATGTATAAACGTAGTAACGTCTATATCGAGGTGAAAATGCTTTGAATCTCTGGTAATTGTAAAGTAACGTTATTTACGCGCTTCACCTTTACGTGAGCAATATCTGAAAAAAATTTCAATTGAGACGTTAAAAGTAATGCAGTTTGCTGCAAAACTGCGACAGTCTTGTTTTCGCTGGCAATGAAGTTCCAATTGAAATTGCAGAAATATCGATCCTCGAAAGAAGTAATTAATAAACGTTGAGATAGCTCACGAAACGTGATTACAACATAATTACTAGCATATAATTAATTGCGTTCACCGCTTCCATTTGAGCGTCAAACACGATATGGACGTGTAATACAAATGAATACTTAAATGCTTTTAATTTTTATGTACCCTGTTCTCTCAGTTAGCTGATATCTTCTACTGAATAGCGTCTCACTCGTGTCTCAAGTAGAAGCGTTGCTACACACAGCTATACCGCTAAGAATATTATCGCTAACATAACTTTAGCGGCTTTCAAAACCATCGTTTCTTACAGATACAATTCCTAATATGTAACGATCAACTTCGCCGTCTTTTTCTTTGTCATTTTAATCGTCAATCTAAATTTGACTTGCTTGAAATAAATGGTTTAAAAAATGCATTAGCACTGCAAGGAGCCAAACGATGGTCTTCGAAGATACCGAATATTGTAATACTTTGTTCGCTCATCGAACTGAATGTTTTTGTAATTCTTTTTTTTTTTATAGAGCATCGTCATACGACTCTCTTTGATAATAACGAAAAAAAATACATGCATATATAATATTTAATAATATATTCGATATAGATGAATATATTCAATAAAACGAGATAAGCGTGACACGATCGTTACAATATTATCAAGCATTCCTTTAACCGCGTGCATGAGATAATGTTAGAATAGCTATTATAAGTAGCGTTTTGATTTTTCAGGTACTTTATACACGTTATTATATGTTGTATAAGGCAGATTAAAAATCGTGTCGCGCTTTCGCGATACGAGAGTAAGGTATACTCGAAGTGCGTTACTTAAAATAGTTATCGTTGCAATGAAGGGCGTTGCCTTTCGACTCGTGATATTTTCTTATGCTTTCCGATCTCAAGGAATATCTCCTGACGATATTATTTTATTCCTTCAGATCTCAATGATACGAGAGAAAAAAAAATTTCAATAGCATTTTAAGTAACACGTTACAAAAAGTTCAGCGTAGTATTCCGTTACTTTATAACACTACAATCGTATGAATGTATTATGCGTAAGTCTCTATGTTAGATCGCCATGATCGCTTAAAGTAAGCGCAAGGTCACGCTTGATTATTGAGTTTCATTATCGTTCACGTTAAGTCAGAGATCTTCATTTCATCAAACAATTCCATTGTGATATATAGCGATTGTCACATTAATATATTTTATCGAAAAGTATTCGATGCCATTGACGTTTGTCCGTCTAATAATAGGCAATTAAATAATTGCCACTCTCTTACATGGTGTATCGTAAGTACGTGTGTACTTTATTATTGGATAATTATCCAATAAACTCTCACTCGACACTCGTTCTCCAGTTGGTGTTAAAATAATAACGAGCAAAAAATTTTGTACGTAAACTACGTCTAAATGAAAGATAATCAAATGATTTTACGCTGATTAAAAAAAAATCAGTCACTTTCTCACCGCTACTTTCAATCAAAATTTCAATTAAATCAATCAAAATCCGTAGAGGAAAAATAGCGAAAGATTCGTTCCCGTCCACGTTAGACTGTGGGACTCATTTCTCCGATCGCTATCTGATGTAGCAGTATCTAATTACACTTTTATGATCGATAACAGAATAAGAGTTTTGCTTAACACAGCTTCATCACGACATAATGAAAAACTGTCTTAAATTTCTGATAAACATCAACGTCCGTTATAACGAGACGACAGTCAAGCACATGGAGAGACTGAAATTGTATCTCCACATTCGTTAAACCTACTTTCCTTGCAATTTTTTTTTACATGCGTCGATCGTAAAAAAATCACGAACATTCAATTTGACGCATTAACTCCCCTCGCATTCACGATCTTCTCAACTTTCGTTGTTCACGATCGTTCCAACGTTCGTTATTCGAGATAGTCGCTGTCGTTTGCGATTTACTAACGCGATTTACAATCGCGAAAGTACCGTCCTTAAATATTTTGTCAACTGTTTTCTTTCTCTTTCTCTTTAATACTTTTAAGAAAGCACGGTATACTTTACAATAAAGTACATAAGGCTTCCTTTTATCATTGTTTCCTTCGATGCAGTTAGTGCATCGAATTTGAAAAATACACTCGGCTCACGCCGAGTTCTCATCGACATGATATCGATACTGAATAGAACTATATCTCTATTTAGTGTATGCTCATCTCCTTATCGAGTCTAAGCATCACTGTAAATACTTTGATTTTTCAATCGTAAAACTTTGTCTAAATAAACATTCGCTACTCGTAGCACATGGTACTTACATAAACACAAAAAAAATGAGCTGTCTGCGACCGTACTACCATTCATGCAGGTCGGCGTACTAGATTTTTCGCAATGTAAAATAGAAATTCACAAAACCAGTAGTGTAAAATGACGGTAATTTAATATAGCTAGCAGTCTTGCAAACGAAAAGTTACGTTTCGTTAATATTGCTATTTCTCGGACGTGATATTTTACTGTGATATTTCTTTACAAAGTTGTATATCAAAACGATATCAAACCACCGTTACTTTACACAGCTATAGTTATCCTATCTACACATAGTGTTCGCTATCTCTACGTAGTCAGCAAAATGCCGAATGGACTTACCGACGATTTCGCCTCTCTTACGAGAAGCTTAAGATCTGCACAAGCATGGATCGGAGTCGTTGCGCTGGAGCGCTTACACAGTAAGCATCATGCAAGTTGTAAGCTTTCAATGATCAACCATAAGGCATTTCTCGTTACTTCGCATCGCGCACGTGTGAATTCTGAATGTGGCCAGACTACCACTCACTTTACATCATACATTTTCTCAAAAAGACTTTACAAAATAGATTTCGACAAATTACAGCATGCACGTATCACTCTATCAAAAGCTCGTATCTTTCAAAAATTTCTTAAAAATTATCTTTCTTTTTGGAAAAATAATTTTCGCCTCACACACTCTCTCTCTCCTAGCACAAACTTCGCTTACCATTTCTCTTTAAGTCTATTTATATTAGCCTTCGTTTCATTCTTTAAATACACGAATGTCTTCAAATATCAAAGACACATCTCGAAGGAAATCGATAAATACATTTTTACAATCAGAAATTCTGACTAATTGTGTTAAGAAGTCGTTAGTAGTCTCAAACGACGCGTGTATATATTTCCCTCTGTATTCCTTTCTTTAAAGGATCATACGCGAGAAAAATGAAAGAACTGCCAAAATATATATCACAATCTAAAATTTTCAACCGTATTAACAGAAAATACATATGTATGAATACATCTTCCGACATATGACACTAGATAAGTATCGTTAATAGCATGCACATTGTTATTGATATCAAATGTTCTTAATATGACACAAGATGAAAATTGGAGGTGCAGAATATTTCAGGAATGCATGCAATAGATACTAAAGTGTATATATACATATACATGCACACGCATCTAAATTATTATAATGTGCAAAGTCGTAGTTATTAATATTCACAGTGCATGAACAGTCGATAAATTTCATCGTCGTGATTAAAGTCGATAATTTTTATGTATAAGGCCAGTGCACCAATCGCCATGCACGTGTAGAAAAATTTGTTCGCACAAGCCGTTTTCTGAAAATTCACTGTGCTTAATGTCTTTAAAGCGTGAATATCCGATGTAGCTTGTGTGCGTATGTTTCATACATTTGCGGAGATGTGGGGGGAAAAAGATATCGAAATAAATATTCGTTGTTACGGGAACAAAGGTGACGATATTAGAAGCAGCATTGCGGGAAAATACTTGGAACAAATAGGAAGCTTAGCAGTATGGAATCCAAGTACCATTCCTCAGTAAAATTCATTATAAATGGACTCTCGTCCGTCAAAAATTGTCAAGTCCATTTTATGTTTCCGGTCCTTCGGAAGGAAAACTAAACATTATCCTCCAAGAAAAATACTATGTATAATGAGTAAAATATATAATATATGATCTCTGTATGTATATATATATATATCTATAAATAAATATTTATACACTTCAACAATAACATAGGCTGCTGACGCGCGCAATTTAGAACGATGAGAAAACAACTGTATCGATAATGCTATCTTGCGTCTCGTTGTATTTCGTTTTTGCACGAATACTAAAGTAGAAGATGAGGGTGGTTTTAATTGCGACGTTCGAGATTCGTTGCCAGACTGTCTCCGTACAAATTTAACTAATTACTCAACCGCGAATCTATCACTCCTTCTACACAAACTCTCTACAAAAATATACATATAGCAGACCCGCATCGATACGTATTTAGAATCTAAAATATTCAATTTCTATATGTATATAAAACTGTTCATTTCCCTATTACGTAGTTATGCCGGATGTGGGTAGCTTTTACGTCGTGATAACTTGTGGCCAGAAGTTACAGACTATCGATAGCATTTCGCGTATCATGAGGGAATCAAAATCAGGATATACGCAGGCAGTGAAAAAAAAAATCAGTCACTCGAGTACCGGCGAATCATCTTCCCGAACGCATTGTCGAATTCAACGGGCAATTTAATATTAACAATAAAACCGCGGTTTCTAATAAGCGCGCGCGCTTTCTAAAAAAATTCGTGGACAGCCTTACGCCGCGGGCTGAATCGTTTGAAAATCACGATTCCCGGTGCGTGTCGGAACGGATACGCATATCTTATCCGTTTTCGCCGAAAATCAGTCGATCCTTGGCGTCGATATCTTTCGTATACCTGCCGTATTTACTCACTCACAGCGGCGGTGGCTTCTTAGAGTAGCGCACTAACTCGAACGGCGTGAAATGATTCACAGCCTCGCAACACGGCGGCTGCTGGAAATAACGCCTGACGAGAAAGACTACTAAACAGAAGGCTATTGCCACCCTGGCGATTCGCCATATTCTCTGGGAACTCGGCTTGTCGTCGTGGTTGTCGCCCTTGGCGTTGCTTTTCATTGTTGGCATCAATTCTGCGTCGCTTTTCGACGTATCTGCCCCGCAGACGGCTTTCTTGCGCTTGCTAAAAAATACGAGAAGAAAAAATTTCGATATATATATCTCTCTCTTTCGATGGCCGAAACGAGCGCTGTTCAATACTGCCGGACACCGTGCGCGTTAACGGCGCGTTATTATTTTATCTACATCGTCGATTTTATTTTGTTGAATAATGCGTTAGCTCGCGAGTCGGGCAAACATCTGACCGTTTGTAGGAGAAGCTTGTAGGAGTTCGCGACTGGGAAAATTAATTTATGCCGTCCCGCGGGATAACAGTAGCAAACCGGTAATAGCAAAGTTCGCCGGGAAATCAATTTGGAGATGCGCGTGCACGTAACTTGCAAGATTGGGATTGCAATTACGGCTGGCGCTGTCGTATTTCTCCATTAGGATTACGTAAGTGCATGGATATTTAATTTTTCTGCAAGCACTCTCAGCTCCCGCCTTAATCCGCGAACGGTAGGGGAAGGCTTAAAACATACCGTTGTCCTTAAACCCTAGGCTGTTTACAGACGCGGTAAAGAAAGGCCGAAAAAGAAGAGCGTGAGAAACGTGGCGAAACCGTCAATCGAAGAAAATGGCACTGGTTTTTTATATCTCCTTTTATGACTCCAAGTGCGGCAGATGTTTCACGCCCGCGAAAACTAAACCTATTACCCGCCGCCGCTGAGCGGTGATTGAACGCGCCTATAAAAAGATCCTTAAAACAAAGTTAAATGAGATACACCGCGGTGTATAATTGGAATCTGTAATTGCGCTGGTGAACAATGTCGTGAGCTTGCACTCGGCATATGAGAAGAGATGAAAAAAATAACCGTCGCTTTATCAGGTTATCGGCGCACTGAAAAAAATTTCTGGTTGAATATGGACGAATCAGATAATTCCTTTAGGATTTACCAGAATTCCTTTAGGATTTACCAGAATTTCTGTAGGATTACAGGAATTGGTAAATCCTAAAGGAATTATCTGATTCGTCCATATTCAACCAGAAATTTTTTTCAGTGCGTGACACATTATTTCACTTATTTTTAAATCACTCGAGTGAAGATTAATTAATAAGAAAGTCGTCGCATGCTTAACGTTTAGCAATTATACAATCAAGGGGGTAACCGCTAGCTAAAATGTTGTCCCACCGATTACACGATTTCATCTGATTACAAATAATCTCATCTAATTGCAAATCATTTTCTTACATGCACGTTTAAAAATATGTAACGTTGTTAAAATCTATATTGGATTTCCTCAAAATATATTTTTCTTATTTTACTAACAAGTATTTGCTTGTAGAGATAATTTCAGTTAAGACTGTAGTATTCGGTCACGTTTCCTTGCGTCTCACTTTTCCCACTAGTCTAACCGCGGTCTTAACGAAAAGTAATTTTGTATTTACTGTTTATTGTTCCAAATTTGCGCGCAAAGGTGTATCAACCTTTCAACTCGCTGTTGTTCCAACAGCAACTACTTCAGTCTTATTATGAATAGAATGCGCGCTTATAGGTGTGAACTATGATATATATTTGGATATGCGCTAAAAGAAGTAAATTTTTTTTGGAAAATGAAAACAAGCTGAGAAAACGTTCAAATTTAAGGTTCATTGTCTAAGTGAAGAAACTTGAAAATTAAGACAAACCGATTGCACGGGGATTTCGTAAGAATTTCATAATAATTTCGGAGACACTGTCCCACGATTACATCAAGTGGTTACCCCCCTTGGATACAATGCGCTCCTCCGGCAGGACGTTTCGATGATAACCCGAAAAAAGCAAAAAAATTACGAACAAAATCGCGCGGTTATGGAAGATTTCATTTTGTAATTTGAATTATTTTTTTTAAACCGTGCACTATACCGCAAGAGGAAGGTGCAGTTCACCGTGCTCGTTCTCGGCAAAGTTCTTGTATTCAAATGAGCCGCCTAATGCCCAGCGCTATGGACCAACGACCTCGCGCGTCCCCACATCTAAATAGTCGCCTTCATTCTTTGCTTCCCATTTCGACGTTATGCAAATGGAATGTGAGCGTGGGAGGCAGTTCTTAAATTCTGGACGAGGCCTCATTCTCAAATGCTTCCGTAAATTCGGCGAGCGTTCGTTTATTTATGCGGCTCGATTGTCACCTCGTTCGAACGATATCGTCGCGCGAAATGCGATTGTTCGACTTCAGAACCGAATCAATTGTCGAATAGGCTCGAGATAAAAGTGTTCTGACGCGTAGAAATTTGGAGCAAGATAAGAATGAGCAAAGGTTGTATAGGCACTTACTCTGGGGGATAATGAACTTGATTGGCTGCTCGGCTAGCAGCACGCACGTCCTCGGCATGAGTGCGCAAGATGAGCTCTTTGCACTGCCTCTGCAGGTCGCGCAGCTCGGTCTCGGCGTGCTCGATTCTCTTGCGGAGGTCGGTCAGAGCCTCGCTGTCCGGTGCCAGCTGGGTCTCCAAGCTACGCGTGAGTCGCCGAAGCGCGGCCAATCTGCGCTCGCGCTCGTTCAACTCCTGGTCGCTCCCGCTGTCGGAGATGCCGCTGTCGGAGAGCGAGCCACCCTCCTGCGTGTGGTTGCTCGCGGAGTTACCGGCGAACTTTCCGCAGTGCACCTCCTCCGTCGTCGCATCGTTCAACACCGCATCGTTCTGAAGCACAGAGATCACGGGATCGCGATACTTAGCGAGAGTTGTTTTCATCAATGTTACAACGAGCGTGCCGCGTTAGGATTACGAGCCCTGTACGTTTACGAGAAATTAACTGCGGTTTAAACGCCGTCTCGACATATTGCGACGTTTGAGTTAAGTTTGATCACGGCAGCTGATTAAAGAAAGAAATCTCCTAGGCCGAACTATACAATGAATCGATCGACGTGCGTCGGATTGCGAGATTCTGATAAGTGGCGGGGTATACCCGGGAGGACACGATATCGAATATTGTATAATCCACTCTTGCGCGTCACCGGAGGGCATCGAGAAGCGTATAAGACGATTATATGAAGTATGGGGACGGGGAAAAGACGAGGGTGTAAGGTGGAAAAGCGAGAATAAGGCAGGGATGCTCGATGCTAAATTGATCGTCGCGCGATACGTCAACGAACGTTTCATAAGATTCGCACGGGGCTTTCCGAGATAAAACTGCTCGCTGCGAGCGGACGGAGTTCTTTTTCGATATTTTTCGGGGCACGGGCCACGTGTACCAAAATGCGTGGAGAGTAAATCAATATACTGCCACGAGAAGAGACATACATGTACGCGTCTCAGATCAGATACGCTTGCACTACGGATGCGCGACAGCATGGCGCGAATACTGGCGAAAATGCCAGTGGTAGTGGCCGAGTAGTAGACAGCCGAGAGAGGAAGGGTGGCTGCGCGGAAGAAAGGGTAGGTTTAGGCTGTTTGCAACGGTGGAGACGGAGGGAACGAGCCTCCGGTAATGAAAAGCGCGATCCGCATACCAAGTAGCAACCTTCAACCTAGCCTATATATAAGTCGGTATGTTCTCTCTCTCTTTCTGTTCCTCGTATAACGGATAGTAGGTACGAAGTGAGTCGGGACGGAATCCACGTTGGTCCGAAAGACCAATCGCGCGAGAGAAAACTGCGAGGAACTTCTTATTTCCGGTTACATTCGTGAAGCATATATATATATATATGTATATTATGTATAGCGCAACAAGACGTAAGATATCTCGTATCGGACGTACCTGCAAGAAAAGCGAGATAAAAAGAGTCTACTCGTTTATCTGCGTAACGCAAAATCCGACCCGACTCTCAGAGGGAGACAAAAACCGAGCAGAGAGAGAGAGAGAGAGAGGTTTCTCGTGAATCTGCATTCAATAATTTGCGAGGATGATTTTATTCGCGTTTCTTAAAACGGCGTTTATTATACGTCACAGCTCGAGAGCTCGGGAGCGTGATTGATAAACTGGTTTATCGTAACAAAACGGAATTTTCGTGGTTACAAGCCTTGACTCTACCCGCGGTTGATATTAAATTTGTATTTTTACGCTGATTCCACGGGCCATTCCCGTACGTGACGCGAAAGGGAATCGTTCGGGCGATTAACGATCGGAGTTCCCTGGGGAGCCGCTGGCTCTGAGATGGCCAACACCCTCGATAGCACAACTCGGACTCGCTGTATCCCGGCGCCAAAACTTATCTCCTTTAGCCGGCTACCCAACGGCGGCCTCGCACATACATCGGTTAATATTTTATTTACTGCCTATCAAAACTTATGGATTCTTTTTGCGAACAACGGACGTCCGTCAGTTCGGACTCGCCGGTTCGTCTCGACGATTTGTTACAACGTGAAAAATCTTGCGGTCCGCGTATATCCATTTTGCGCGCGTGTGCATAGGAAAAAATATATATTAACTTTTATAGAATTATGAAGCACCTTCGTAATTTTACCAATTTAGCATCGCTACTGTCTGGCAGGTAACAGCACGAGGAAATAAAAAATTGCAATGTTACAAGGAGGAGAAAAGACTGTAATGTCGAGTGCTTTATTGTAGCCTTTCCTCTTGTTCGGCTCTCCGAAATACTGGTGCCTGGAGACGGAAGGATGGGAGGGGGGAGAGGGGGCGAGAGGACTGTCGCGAGGGGGAAGATGAAGGAGTGAGGGAGAGAAAGCGAAAAGGAGAAAAGGAGAATCGTAATGTCAAGTGCATGAAATTATTCCCTCGAGTGCTGTAGATCGGCAAGACTAAGAACTTTTCGGATTATACCGCCTTGACGGGAGTTTGAATACGTTAAAATATAGACGCGATACACATGGAAAGAAGAAGAAACGAGACGAAAGGAAAGGCTCCTATTATTGGAGTGAGAGTATTGTGTCGTGAGTCGTACGTCTTCTTGACAGGCGAAATGAGCACAGGGACAATTGGAAATTGTTACAGAGCACCTACGCCCGATACGCGGCGTCGAGAGCGGTCGGGTACAGGCTCTCAAAAATATTTTCGACATAAACCATGACAATACACGTCAGCTCGCATCAACGATTTACTTTAATCGCCGTCTCGTCCGATGTCACTCTGATTCCTGTAATATTAATTATAAATGAAGGATGCGCGAGGGGTGAATTCTTGGATTAGCCCAGCGCGCTGGCTTCCGTTAGGTGCACGAATCTCCGTAGACCCGCGCAGTATGTCTTCCCGACAGGCTAAACGAGCGGATAAATCGAAAATCGCGGCCGCGGACCTGCCACTCGTTGCACTTTCAACTACTTTCCTTACGTCCATAAAGCAAAGAACCTGGGCGTAGGACGGGCTTGCCAAGAGATTTACTTTATATGCAAATTAGAGGCGGATATGGTGGAAATAGGGGGATGTGATGGCGTTTAACGGAGACGCGATATCGACAAGTATCATCTGTCAAACGTACCCTCCGACCTGTAGCCCCCCCCTCCCTCCCCCCTCCCTCTCCTACGCGTAACCTTCGCGTGTTCAGACTAGTCGAAGATTTATCTCCTGACGTGCGCCATATGTGGCGCACGTATATACAACCCTCGTTTACGTAACTTTCAATTATTTTTACTTCTCCCAAAAGTTCTAACACTAGCTCTCTGCATAAGTATATTGAACTGTCGCCAAGCGAGGTAACATAAACTTTTTAAAAGTTTGTTACTTTCATTGTTTCTAAAATATTAGAGAAAAGTGATATATTCGAGATCTGATTTCGTTGCTCGTTATGGTAATCGAAAGAAGAAGAAGCCGATATGATATCTCTGGTCAAATCTGTACCACGCAGTCTGAGAAATGCGATTTGCAAGCCGATTTAGCGTGACGTATATCGGAAATACGGGATACACATCCGCATTATAATCTCGTTTTCTTTAGGTAAGTTACATCCCCGAGTTCCGCGACTCTGCCAATCTATGTGGGGGAACGGTTTTATGCACACAAGCGATGCCTCTGGGAATCGTTACCCCATCCACCGGCGTTGAATAATTGCTAACAGCCATCTAACCGATTGAAAATCAAGGATGCGATGGGGATATCTGACATAGAATTCAGATAAGATATTCGTAGTTCGCTAACTATAGTAGTGAGATTAAGAAATGTCGCGTCTACCGTGTAAATCAAGTTGCCGTAATTTCGAATTATTTCCCTACACAGGTCACTTTGCGCAAATTTTATTATTCGATCGGAAAGAATGGCGGATTCGTCTGAAAGAAACGGTACCTGACAATTGATGTCTGGTCCGGACAAAAGCCGCGCGACATGACGAACGGATGAGGCGACCTCGGGAGTAACGCCCGCTTGTAGGGCCATATCTAGAGACGCCAGTGTATCTTTGTCCCTTTGCAAGGCGGACTGCAGTTCGGCCAAGCGCGTACTAAACTGCTTCATGGCTTGCAGGACGGACAGCTGCTGAGTACCCCTGAAAAGAAAAACACAGACATGTGCATTTATAATGTGAACCGCGTATTTTAGTAATATGTATATTTTATTGTATCTTACATGGAAGTTGGTGTTCTTTTAAATAGTTACGCAATGATCATAATTTTGGAAACGAAACTTCTCGTCACTTTAGCGATAGACGACAGTATAGCAACGAGTTAATAGTAAATAACTATACAACACTTTGCACCGAAATATATTAACGCGGAAATATCTTTCCTTCTTCATTGTCGTTTATTTCGCATGAATTATTCATTACTTCTCGAAAGGGTGAATATAAAGAACGCGAAGCAAATTTGGGCAGAAAAATCACGCGAGTCAATACAATAAAAAACGGAAAGAGGGTAAAGCCGTTGTGCAAACATTAAGACGTCGAATTATTAGTAGGCCCTCCCTCCGGCACTATCGGCAAATAAAAACACTTTATTCCAGGTCAATCTGTGAACGTCCCTAGCGAACATAGGAATGAATCGAGGAAGGTTGATCCGGGTCCCTTTTTCGCATTGGCGTATCCACCAGAAGAGTTGATATATTTATAAGCTTTCTACAACATTGATGGGCATTTTGTTCGTCAATTAATTGCGCGAATAATTCGTTCAATAATTTTTTTGTGGAAATCATCTCTCAAGAATAGAAGTGCCTCTTCGTGCCGAACGAAGGGATAGGATTGACCTCTGTAAACCCCAATGGGTCAGTGGTAAACCCCGTTTTGAATGGTCTAAACCCCTATCAAAGGGGGAATCGAGTGCTCATATGGAAATTAAAAGAGGGTTGTAATGATCGCGCTAACTATTCGTCGTTGCTCACCCGAAGACAGACTTTATGACAAAACTTATAGTTTACTATGTAATAATACCTGCTAAAATAACAAATTTTAACTAAATAATCGTAAAAATTTATAAAGCAATGGCGAACTTGTTGCCAGTTATTTAACTTTGATATCAAATTAATTTACAGAGACTAATTTGTCAAGTAAAATCAACTTTATTTCATTCTACAAATTAACAAATAAGGGACGTCCATTTGCATTTGACATTTTCGGTAAAAGTCATGACAGGATGGTGCAAGATTGCATCGCGCTGTCCCTTCCGAATCTCGATCGGTCGCTTTTCTGTTAGAGCTGTCACTCGGAAGAGGTCCGTGATTAAACGCGATCTCCGTTAAAGCTAGTAATCCCACGACACGGGTCAAAATCCCAACGAGGAGAGCCCTTACTGGCGGTACCTATGCCGCTCTCGGTTTCCGCTGTTTGCTTTGGTGGCTTCATTACCTCTCAAAATATTTGCCTAACGTCACACGTCGGCCGGCAAACGGCCAGTCGATGTGATCCAGTGCCAACTATTCTATACGGGACGTACCGCTGAACCCCGCCAGTAAAGACATCTCCAAATTAATCAAGAAAACTATCAAACCGTTTTCTAACTCGTTACTGTAGCGTGATTTTCCCAAAATCCCTTGCAGACCATTAATAAGCTTGCATTCGCGGAGGACGTGTTGTAATTTGTATTCGTACGGGGAAAGCCCGGCTAAGGCAAAAATAACTAAAATGTTGCCGTACAAATAGCGGGGGCATCTACATTGTTTTGTGTTGCGACATACACTAAGTTTACTGCACAAGGCATATGTGGTTGTCTCCACTACTTATGGGTATGACAACCACAGATATAGCTGTCCCAAATATTACTATTTATTGGGGTTGCGCCAACCCTAACTGGACATGTGGTAACCATATCGGTCTCTCCGTGATAAAATAATTAAATGACTGATACAGGTTTTTGGTTTACGGTTCAAATATTTGGCGCACAGTGTATTGCAGCCCCTTCGTTCCGTTTTTCCTCGAGAATAAGTTTATAGCCACTCACTTTTGGCGCGTGTCGTTCCATATTCTATAAAGATCGGCCACGCCATCCTTGAGGGATGTGCAAATTAACGCTGCGGAGACACCGAGACTGGTGGTCAGCTGATGCGCGGACAAGTTTAACTCGACCATCGCCGCCTTGTGATTCTCCAGAACAGTCAGTTCAGCCTGCAAACATAAAATATACATTTTTAGTAGCTGGCTCGCTCGCCTAACTCAAACGAATTACCCGCGGTGCAGGGGCAAACGCGCAGGGGTCGCCCGAGGGTGAAGGTGATGTATAAAGTGGCCACAGACTAAGAATCCGGCCAAGAAGGGATACACGTGGGATCTAAGTGAGTTTTATCGCGTATCCACCGAAACGTCGGATAACTTCCTTCCCCGTGTATCGGTGCAGCATTTTCGTGTCTTTTACTTTCGTATCCGTCGAACTAATCGTCGAAATCGAACGGATATTTCGACGAGTAAGTATAACGAGGAGTAATTTTTTCGAACGTTCCGAAATGTCCGTCTACGATTCATCATCGACGTTATCTCTGTTCGAATGATCACATTGAAAATACATACAAGAGTGAGCGTTGCCGCGATCGGCCAAGACGTAGCGCGAACGTCGGTAGTGATTGCGAAGAGAAGGAAATTACTTTTAAAGAACGGAAGAAGCGAGAGGCGGAGGATATAAGACGCGCGGATGACCGCAAGGGCGAGTTTTACGAGCTTCCCTCGGAGGTCTCCCGCTCGTCACGCGATGAGCGAGAGAAATGGAACGAGAAGACGGAGGTACGGGCTCTCGTTTTCGTTCTCTTACGCCCTGTGTCGCCGTCGTAAACCCGGGTTTATTTATGCGGTCCTCGTCGGTAGCGTCGCGCGGTAGCACGACGGGGATGTGACAACGTGACGTGGTTACTGCATCGTGCCTACAACCCTTATATTTAGCTATGTTGCCGCTGATAAATGCTCGTTCGCATTATTTCTCTCGGCTCGACTCGAAAACTACGCTCCGCACGCGATCGTCGGCCGCGGTGCCTCTTTCTTTCCCATATCGAAGGATTTTTTTTTTCCATAAAACCGCACGGCACACTCGCGACAAGCTGCTGGCAGTTAGCTGGTTTTGTTTGTGCCGTCAAGCGGGGCAAATCGCACGATGAAAAGGAGAACGCGGCCCCCGACGCGGTCGGTATTGCAAAGTGCGCGGCGTGGATTTGCCCCGGTGTGTCCGGCGAAAAGTGGTTGTCATTGATATTCCGGGCACATAGCGAAGGCAGAAGCGACCGTTCCCCGCTTCTACCCCTCTTTTCGTAACCACCCTGCTTCTCTTCGCCGCCACCGCCATCGGTGGGTATCAACGACGCATAACCAGCGGCAGCCGCCGCCGCCGAACCCCCTGCCACCGACTACCCTCGCTCGCCCTCGCCGTGCCCTCGCGGCTCGCGCAGCAGACACGCACATTCCGATCTAATTCAATTTCCAATCAACAGCCAATCAATTGATTCGAATTCGGTATACAGAGCGGTCGCTGCGCGTTCGGGACCTGCATGCCTATGAGGCCGCCCGCCATACTACCGGGCACGTACCCCGTAAAAGTAGAGAATTAGCTTTTTACGTCTCGTAATTCCGCGGTACTAAGTGGAACGGAGATACACTGCCGGTATATTCTAATTGTGCCACCGCTCCCTCCGCGTTGCACCCTCCGCGATGGCACGTAAAGACCGAGTGTTGCGGGGGGGGGAGGGGGAGGAGTAGGTAGATTTCATTTTTAAGAATTACATTTTACCAACCACTGCAAATCTGCCTTCGCGATAAATTTTGGCACTGAAATTTCTTGTGCGTACACACACACACACATTATCGCATATTTCTTTTAAAACAATTCTGAGATTAATTTTATTAATTAGTTACACTGGATGCCACGCGAAATGACCAGGTAAAATTAATTTTGCGACTAAAGCGAACCGCACATACGTTTGTCCGATATTACGCAATAACATAATCAACGAGGCGACGTGCCTCGTCGAATCGCGTCGTACGTTCGGCCCACGCCAACGCGTACGTGCCCCGCAGGACGGACGCGTAGACCCAATTGTGCCCTGCTTAGCGATGCATAATACATAACGGAATGTTCAATTCTGTCTCGCGCGCGTCAGTCTGCGTTTGTTCGCGCCGTTGCGCTTTTCGGGGCCGCGGCCTGCATCCCAATCGGCAACTCTCCACGTGCGTCGCGCGGCGGACAATCATCCGCGATGCGTAATCAGCTTGTTGACGGTCTTCACCCGCGCGGCCGTGCTACGTTTGTGCGTACCGACCCTTTTCGCGACTACACTCCGTCTAGGAAATTGCCGCGTAGCTCCCGCGGATCTTATCGGTCTGGCCGCGTCAAACTTCCCTCGCTATCAGGGACTTTGACGACGGTGAGAGCATGAGAGAAGCGGAGGTAAATGAGAAAAAAAAGAAAAAAAAGGTGAAGCAAAAATGCGACTCCGCGTTCGGACCGGTGCGGATTGGCGGCGAGCTACACATCTCGTGCATAATGCAGCAGAGCGACGAGTTCGCCCGGCAAATGTTGGACGCTAATACATCTTGATGATAGATAGGGAGCATGTGTTTGGTCTTCGCAATGAGGCTGGGGAGGGCGCGGAGGATGTTGCGGGGGTGCGGCGACGGCGGCGGTGGCGGCGGCGGCGGCGGCAGCTTTCACGGAGGGCTTCCGCGGTAGGGCTGAATGTGCCGGGAGGATCGAAGGGGGATGACTCTCGGGGGGTGGAACTCTACCGAGCGGGGTTAGCTAGGTTCGCTCGGCGTTCGCTCTCCGCGCGAGTTGCGATGCCGAGCACGTCGCCGTCAGACGAGCGTACGTGCGACACGACTACGCTTTTACGCCACTACCTCTGCCTCTCTACTTGGTTCCTGACTGCTCTCTCCTACTCTCCTTCTCTACCGCCCCGTCTTCGCCAACGCCTCCCTCATCCCTCGGTCCACCTCCTTCGACCGCTTTCATTTTGTTCCTCCCTCTCCTCCTCCACCCCGACCGCGACTGCTTGGCGAGCTTTCTACCTCCCCAGTTTCTGACTTTTCTGTCTTACCCGCCGTACCAGAGACATTTCCAATAATGCGCTTTCCTATTGCGATTCGATTCCCGAACAACTTGCAGAAATTCGTCAGGAACTGCGTGTCTCGAGATGCACGTCCGAAAAATTCGCGTTTTCCTTTCTTCCGAATTTTTAGGATCGCCGACGTAAGCACTTCCGACCAAATTCTCAGATATTGATACTTCTTAATGACTTCCTCATTAAGATCATGAAGAATTTTAGTAACGAAAATGATGCTTCGTTATCAGTAAATATCTGTTCAGAATTATTCATTTCATAAAAGTACTTTTATGAAGACAATGCTTTAAATTAATATTAATTGGTTCACTATATAAAGAGATGAATAAGATGATTACATCAATAAATTTGATATGATTGCAACTTATTGGGCTTCGTTAAACAGCGAGATCAAAAGTGAATGAATTCCTGTATCAATCGAGTTGCTGTAGAAGATTCCTTGTTTAGCATAAGAGGATATACCTCTATCGGTACGCTTACCGGCCGTGCGTAAGTTATCATACGTGTAATTTACTCACTATCGATAAAAAAGTATATTATAATTTTAAATCGCATCTAAAGCCCACTTTACACGATCTATAATTCGCAACAGAATTCGAGACAGAATTCTATTTAAAAATTTGTATGTATCGTGTAATACAGAAAACATTTGAACAATCAGAATTATAATTATAATGCTCCAATTTTGAAAAGATGCATCAAATATGTGTAGTGCATGAAAATGCGTGATTGATTAATTGTATCTGGTCTAATGAAAAACCTTAAGCATTGATTGCTGTGAATATTTGTGTCCAATCGGCAGGGAAAACGGACCTCATCCATATGTAAATGTTATAACCTACACTAACCTAATCTACAAACATACATATGTCAATTTAATATATGTATGAAATTATAAAATAGAATTCTGTCGCGAATTATAGACCGTGTAAAGCGGGCTTAATAGAAAAAAAATTAACGAAAAGTAATATACATTTCACACGTAATGTTAATAAAATTCACTCCTGAACCTTATCCAAGATTTAACTTCAGGTTAATGTAAACTCGTATGTATCGAAGATTCTTCTTAAAAACTGTACGTGTATATGCGAAGTAAAAATGTGTAATATTGAAGAAAACTTACATTGATCTCGTTAATGTGATCATCGAGCACGTTGGACTGCTCCAAGACGATTTCGTAATTAAGAAATCGATCGCACATGGCTTTCAATTTCTTTCTCATGGCATCCAGGTCGTGGTGAAGTGCGATGACTCTCTGCTGCTCAACTTTCGATGCCAAGGTCTCCCATCTCTCAATCAGACCTAAACGAATTAGACAACATAGCGCAACATTAATAAAACAGCATTTTAAGATGAACAATAACGCTTTACGTTATCCAATCAGTTTTCTTACATCTATTTAGTGAGACAGGCGAATGGAAATATTGAAAATATGTCGGATATCCGCATTCTAAAATTATTTATAGAAAATTAATAAAACTTTAAGTCGTTTTTTCTTCAAATTGACTTAAAGTTATAATTATACAACTTTATACGCAATTGATGTGCCAAAATAACATGCAATGTTACTAATGTCAACTTGGCACAATAGCATGGCAGACTTCTCTGTGTTATTATATGTGGCAATAATTTAACATATGTTACGATACTCGACGCGTGCGTTGAACCGTTTCCTTCCATTCTTTCTCGAGCGAGCCACGTGAAAGAAAGGAAACCAGCAATTATATTTCTATATGTCGTCTCGTTTCCGGGCTTTAAAGAGCGGTACTGTTATCCGTAATAACGGTATCTATAACGATTCGTGGCCCTCATCAGCCGGTTATGTAAAACGTGAGCAAAAAAAGTGTTCAAAAAGGTCAAGATGCTTGTGTCCGTACCGTACGGCTTCCGTGACCTCTTTCCCGCCACTTTCTTTTACGACGGCTACTTTTTCCAGACCGAAACCGCACGGTCAGCATGATAGAAACGATACGAGTGCGGACGATAAAGAAGCAAACGAAGATGGAATTAACGCGGCGTCGCAATGTCGTAAAAGTCACCGGCCGCATCGTCGGAGGAGGGCGTGTACGGAATGCGACAGGAAAAATTCGACGCGTAGAAAGTATCGTGTTTTGCATTGACCTACAGGATATGACGGGCTATACGTACGAGCATGAAAAACGCATTATGAACGCGATACGAGGCTCTCGTACCCTGCATCGTACGATGCATATGTAAACGCGCACCGTGGAAACTCACGCTTCGTGCGATCGTACTCGCCTCGCCTCGCCTCGCCGCGTACGGTCGCCGGAGCGTAAATCGCTATTGAATGCAGCTGGTCCCGGTGTTTTCGCACGACGTAACGCACGATGCGTCTTTCGCGGAAACGTGCATACGTGCTTGCAAATTGACGGTAAACACAAAGGGGGATACGTAAGCGGGTCGAGCGAGTGGCCAGGTTTCTGTTGGCAGTTTCGCTCGGGACGCGACATTAGACTTGTGACTTTCAAGTTTCGCACCCGCGGATATTTCAAGAGCTCTTGTTGCTTTACTTTCGCGAAAATAATTGCGATTTTTTCATTCCGTCCCGGGGAAGTGGAGCGACGATCACGAGCGTCGCGTTATGCGGCACACTGCGCAGTCGCGTCGCGTCGTTTCGAACGGTGATATCGCGGGAATGATCGATGGATTCGGCGGGTAACGGTACGGCGTTACTACACGGACGCCGTATGTTATTACTGCACGCAACAATGCGAAGATCCGGAATTGAAGGACGCTTAAATGCGACGTTTCGTAAATTCGAGACAGACGATCGAGAGACGATATTCGGCGTAGCGCGGCGCCTCTCTCTTCAATTTTCTGAGACAATTCACATTTCGAGAAGTGATGTTTTTATATTATTCAAATTTCCTGCGAGCAGTCTATCCGGACATCTGCTTGTACAATAAGCAGTTAATTCGACCGATGTTCTCATCGCGTAATCGCGTCGGCGGCATTCGCGTGGCTCTACCGTTTACGTCATTTTTGAATATACAACTAATCGCGTCGAGTCGTATGTAATTTCGGCGACGTGTGATGTTCAATGCCGCTAACGACGACGATATTGCAAATCCTTCCACAACGTGAAAAGAAATGAAAAGGAAACTCGAGCAATTGGTATGGTAATTGTTCGACGTTTCTCGGGACTGACGTAGAGCCAATTACAGTAACTGCGCCACGACAGTAATAGAGAAACAATGACGACGAAGGTAATACATACGCGAACTGTGCGGGGTTTCGTACTTTTCCCTTCGCGCGAGCATCGGGATGACAAATTGTAAACGACAGACAGACAAGTTGGACGTCCGGGACGGCGGCTGTCCCGACAAATCGCGGTGACGGTCGGCTGAAGCACGACGGACGGGCGTCCGGTGACGTTCGGGCGCATCGAAACACTGCGAAGCGCGGCGCTCGTTCGCGGGCGAGAGCACTGTGTGCCCACGTGACGCCCCGACGTAGCGGCGATACAATTGCACGAGCGAGCGAGCGAGATGCGATCGCGGATAGCGCGCGGCACTGCCACCACCAGTTCCAATGGCCCTGGGCAACGGTGCGTCGTTAAGTTTCATATAAGGCGCGACTCTCGGGACCCCGAGGTACGTTCACGTTACACGCAGCGTGCGTATCCACCTACGCGCACCTCGGGCATCTCGGTATCCACGTGCACGCGCGATCGACGATCCGACAATCTCGTTAGATTTACGAGCGGAGTAAACTTGTCGTTAATCCGATCTGACGGTTATACGGCACGCTTAATACACTAACATGGCTCGTAAGACAGCCGGAAGCTTTCAGTCGAGGCGTTACGCCTGACACCGATGCCTCGGATAAACAATAACGATTTATAATAATGCACCGTGTGGTCGTTAGGAGCACGAGACGTTTTCATTTTCTGCTTTCTCCTACGCTCGGATGCGCCTATTCGAACTTCGTTAGCTGGAAAGCAAATTGTGTCGTGTATAAAGTCGATTTAGGTGCTGCGAAAGCGCTCACGATTGCTTTACGTTATTTTAATTACAATGTACATTTTGCGTCTTTTAGTTTCACGAGTAACGTTACAAGCATGCGCGTACGAAGAGAAACTAATATTAGTACATGTAGTTTTTATTATGCGTCTCACCGCCACTTTATATTCTTTCATGCATAATTCCTTGCTTTCTATCTTATTTTTGACAGTATTTTTCCGTTTCTACATTCACCCGTGAATTACAGAGGTTTGTAAAGAGCTGAAAACACCGCATTTATCGAGTGACAGTACCAAAATTTGCGCAGGTCGCAAAAGGTTAAAATAAAGAGAAAGTATTAGATGCACTGTAATACATGTTAATAAGCGGATTAACATAAAGACTTTTATTCAACATAAATAATAAAATACATATATACAAAATAGATGAATAATATTAGTCGGATTAAAATCGAGTTAACTCTCCTAAGTTCTTGCTATTCGATGAGTCACGAGTATAAATGTTAAACCGGTCGAACTAGGGCAGTTTCGCAATGATAGATTACAGCTAATTTTGACACAGACAAATTAGAACTTTCATTAGCGCGCTTACTGACGGTAGAAAAGGGCTTGCATGCGATAAAATGGTTGTACGATGGAAACGGACATTTATATATTTTTTTGTTATCTATTCACCTGTCCAACAAAATAAATGCGATTGCACTGATAACGTGAGATAACGGCAGATACGAGCAATGAAATATGAGCACACATTCTCTTTATACAAAGAGTTTTCCCTACGTATATATGTATTAACATGCAGTATGAAAATAGTGTTTCTGGAAGATATCGATTTCACCGGACACCATCAAGAAATAAGTTGGAAGACAAGCCCGGTCAGGCACAAAGTAGTTATAAAGAGGAATGACATGAAATTTATTATCATGAACTGCTTGTACTCACCGCGAATTTTTTTCAAATATTTTTCATTTCGCAATTTCCTGTATCCATTTTGCGGTTCCAGCAGATTCTGCAAACGTCTTAAGTTTTCTTTGCATGCAGACTCCACTTCAGCCTATTAGAGATAGAAAGGATAAATTCCATTAACTAACGTGTCTGCTCTGTCACGACACAGATCAAATAGGAAACAGTGCGCCTAATCAGTCAATTTATTATACTGATCTATTATCTTATTTAAAAGTAAGTAAACGAACGTTTCCTACAATTAAACGATTGTAACAACCTGTTCCACAGTGTCGCGCGATTGTATTATATTTGGCTTATAACATTTACTGTGCAAAACTTTCATAGTAAAGGGTGTTTCAATAAGAAGGAATGATGTTAAACGTGAATTAAAAATCGGTGGTGTACAAAAATGAAAATTTCTTTAATAGAACATGTTTGGTAGGCCATTACAATTAAGTATGGAAGATAATGTTCGCCACGACTCCGGCGGCACACGTCAATCCGCTTATCGAAATTTGCTATCACATCTCGACACAACTGCTCCTGAATCTCTTCAATGTGGCGTGAAATTTCGTCTTTGAGTTGCTGGATGGTGGTAGGCTTGTTGGCATAGACTTTACTCTTCAAATGGCCCCAAATTGAAGAGTAAAGTCTATGCCAACAAGCCTACCACAATCCAGCAACTCAAAGACGAAATTTCACGCCACATTGAAGAGATT